TATTACTAGTATATATTTATAAAAATATAAATACCTAATTCCTCTAAAAGTTCTAAATCTTTTTGCTTTTATTATTCTAAAGTTTATTATTCGTATTTCTAAGGTTTTATTATTTTAGTAATACCTATATTACTAATAGTTCTAAATTAATTTATTTAAAATCCTCTATAGAATTAAAGGAAATAAGCTTTAAATACTATTATAAATATAATATTTAGGGCTTAGAAAGCAAGATAGAAGATCTCTTATAAAAATAATTTAAAGCTAAGAAAAAGAAAACTAGAATATAGAAGGCTATAAGGAAATACATATATCTTATAATATACTAGTTCTAAAGGGGCTTAGTCTTCTAAATATCTCTAGTATATTCCAAATATATTTCTTTAGTAAAGTAGTTATATTATATATATCTAGGAGATATCTAATATCTAGTAAAATATTTTAGATACCGGATATCTGAGAATTATAATAATATTCTAGTTCTAGTAAATAGAACTAGATATACTAATATTATTTACTAGTTCTTTACTAAATATAAGAGAATTACTAGAAGTATTCTAGCTTTAGAACTTTATAATATAGCTTATAGTTTTAATATAGGTACTTTAGTTAAATCTATAATTAATAGAATACTAGAAATAGAACTATTACTAGTTATTTATATGAATTTAAAGTTATTATATAAATATCTTATTAAATTAAATATTACTCGAGAGAAATACTTAATAATTAATATAATATATTTTTATTAGATATATAAATAATAAGAAATTACAGAAATTAAATAAATTAAAAAAAAATCGAATATTACTAATTTTATAATAAAATTAAAGTTATTAAATACTCTTAAATACCTTATTAATATAAATACTATATAGTTAGATATAGAAAAATAAGTTAAATATAAATAAAATAGAAAATAAATATATTAAATAAAAGAATATATATAAAGATTTCTTTAGTATCTAGTATCTAGTATCTAGTATCTAAGTATCTAGTACTAGGCCGGATTAGGAAATTAAATATCTAGGTATCTAGTATCTAAATATCTAGTACTAGACTAGATTAGGGAATATAAATATATAAGATAAAAGAATATTATAGAAAGAGAAGTTATATATAAAAGGCTATAGCTTTTAATATATAACTAAAACCTTAAAAGTAATATAAATATATAAAGTATTTAGGAAATCTAGTATTAGGCCAGATTAAAGAACTTATATATAATTAAAAAGAAGTATTATTTTTTATATTTTTAGAAAGATTTTAGTATTAGTATAATTATAATTATTAATAGTTATATAATATAGAAATAACTAGAGATAACGAAATATAAATAATGGGTAATAATTATATAAGCTTGTATTATAAGTATAACTCGACTAGTAAACTAGTTTCTTTTAGGCTTAGTAGATTTAGGAATTATATATTAATATTATAATACTATAATTCTTATTTCTAAATAATAATTACTTTACTAACTTATATAAATAATAGTATTATATATTTCTAGTAAACTAATAATTACTAAATATAGAAATATAAAAGTTTATATAATAAGCTATATATAGAAATTTAAGGAAATTTAAATTACTTTGAATTATTTATAATTAGTAAAATAAATTAGCTAATTATATAAATTAAATATAGTTTAATTATTATTAGTATATCTTAGCTTTTATAAATTAATAAAAAAAAATATTTATATCTTTATCTTTATAACTATAATACCTAAAATTATAATTTTTTAATATTTAAATATATTTTATTTTTAGGTATTATTTATTATAAATTTATTCGGGTTTAAATAATTATATTAAATATATATTTTTATATCTCAAAAATAAATAATAAAAATATAACTATATTAGCTTTAATCTTAGCTTTAATCTTAATTTTCTTCTAAAAATAACTTTAATTCTAATATATAATACTATTATTAAAGCTCTTTTTTATTAAAAATATATTAAATATAGCTTTAAGTAATAGCTTTAATAAAAGTAAAAGTAATAGAAAAAATAATAAAGCTATAAATAAATAAATAAAAAATATTTATAATACATTATTATATAGCAATTGTGCTCTAGTCACGTACGGCCCACGTAATCACATTTACTATATTTAAGCTCTGGCCACCCGTGCCATACCTTCTTTCCTCTCTTTATTAAATATATACTACTTATACCCGCATTTACTATAACAAATAGTAGCAATACTCATTAGTTCGATTTAATCAGGAGTCTCCTTACTCTCGATTGCCTGCGGATCTCCACTAGTAGAGCCCTCCAAAGCTCTGCTCTAATTAGTCGATCTCTTAATTAAGCCGTCGACTAGAAACCATTAATTTAGCCGGTATAGCCTGTTTATTAATAATACCGCCACGACGTCACCATGCCTCCCAAAGCTTCCGCTGCCAAATCAAAGGCTCCCGAACGTCAACCTACGGTTTCCCCTGATCCTGACGAATCAGGGCTATCAGAATAGCTAGCTATGGCTATCCCTGGCCAAGGAATTAGCATCCAAATACCACGACGAATGGATAACGAAGCGTTTAGCAAATACCAATTAAATACCATTAATTCGATCGTCAAATCTGCCATTAATCGAGCCATTCAGGACGAGTTAATTCCCTCTGTGCGAGAGATAATTACAACCCAGCTAATGCAATCGCAATCGCGATTCCAAACTACATCTCCCACTCCAGCTCCCGCTCCTGCTCCTCCTGCTATCGAACAGCCATTATTAGCTTCTCGATAGCTCCCTCCTCCTTTAGACGAATTCGAATACCCTCATTTCGATCATTAATTGCCTCCTTCTCCTCCCAAACTCGAAAGCATCGGCCTCTTCAAACCACCTGTCCATACATGCCTGCCTGAGGCACTAACCTATAAAGGCAAATACCCAATTTACCATAACGTTTTCAACTTCGTTAACGCTCTACGCTTGAGTACGGAGGATATTTATACAAATAGATTGTGGACATACTACTTGCGGGGCTCTGCTATGACTTGGTAGACCACGGAACTATCAGATTTACAGAGACATCTCTTAAAACAGTTATCTTTAGAGATCGTTTCCCAGACTCTCATTAATCGGTTTAAGATACCAGCTTCCACTACTCTTAATCAGGTTAATAAGACCTATTTTGCGTACCTCCAAATACGTAATGGGATACACATTTCAGAATACCTAGCCACCTGCTTCCGCCTTACTAGACATGCCGGTTTTACGTCCGAATTCCACGTTATCCTAATAGCATGGAATACGCTGGATCCCCAGATTAGGCTAGCCTTGGATACTCCATTAATTAGTACTACCAGAGCCTAATTAATGGCAAATGCGAATTCCGAATAGTCGACCATATACGACCTAGTAACCAGATTTAAGGCACCGCCAGTCCCAGCTTCAATAACGTCACCAAAGCCTCCTGTTCCCTCTTCGTCGAAACCCTCTGGTCCCTATATCTCTCGTCCATACGCCCCTGCTCCAAAGCAGCTTGATAATAAGGCATATATAGCAGTAGTAGCCGGGGATAGGGTATATCAGGATTCCTATAGCCAGAATAGGTATCTGCAGTACGAAGATAACCCGGCAGAATTACCTAATCGGGAGGGAGAGGTTAGATAAGGCTATATTTTGGGTCTTGGGTATAATTGGGTTGTTTTTGAGCTTTTTGGATGGAAATCGTTCGATTTTTTAATCTTTTCGTAAAGTTGGCCTATGTGCGCACGTAGAGGACCACGTGATTCTTTCTTTTTTAGGGGGCATATGTTATATGGTAACTATGCTCCAGTCACGTGTATGCCCACGTGACCACATTTACTATATTTAAGCTCTGGCTACCCGTGCCATACCTTCTTTCCTCTCTTTATCGAATATATACTACTTACACCCGCATTTACTATAATATATATTCTTTAATAATTCAGACTTAGTCTATAATATCCTTTTCTATTAATATATTTAACTAATAAACTTCTTTACTTCTTAATTTTCTTTTTATATATAATTTTCTTTTTTTCTTTTTTCTTCTCTATAATAATACTTTAATTTCCTTATACTATCTAATAATAATACTAAAGTAGTAAAGCAAATTAATAATAAGACTAAAATTAGAGAGATAGAGCTATATTAGGGCAGGGAGCTAAAGAAATTAAAGGCAAGGCAAATCTAGAAGCAAGCTTAGTATATATTTATAGAACTAAATTCTCTTAAGCTTATACTACTTATAGTAATAAGAAGAGACTAAGGAGCCCTTTTAAATACTATATAGTTATAGAAGGCAAATTTAATAATAATAGTAAAGTCTATACTTTCTATTAACTTAATTCTAATTCTATTAAGTCTAGAAAGCCTTATTTTATATCTGTAAAACTTTTTATACTAAAGCCTCGACTGCCTATAAGATATAGAAAGCGAGTATAAAGACAGATATAAGATTAGAAGGCAATAGGAAAGGAGGTTGTAATAGAAGAGGGTAAGGATACTAGAGAAGAAAGAAATAAAGGAGATATAGATAATTCGAGTAATATAGGTAGTACGGAAGATATAGAGAGTAAGGGAGATGAAGATGTGCCTTGTAATCCATGGAATTTGCCTTACGGACCACGTAAGCTAAGGGGGGGTTAGGAGTAGTCGAGAATAAGGCATATATGCTATACTTTTTTTTTTTTAGTAAGGTGTGGTGGGCGCGAACATCAGAAAATCAGAAAATCACTTTTCGCTTCTCGGTTTTGTCCGCTAGCCCGCTAATGGCCTCAGTACCATGATCAGGTTTGCTCCCTTGTTCGCGCTCAGATGGAAGTTATGGCTGCTTACATCTGGAGAAACAGATAAATCATTGGCGAATATGTGAATATCTAGTTATATACCTGTCGTGTGTCGAACGTTCTACTCGGCTATGCTAAACATGACTCTATCGAAAATCTACTCCGTACATGCTGTATCTCTGCGAAACAATGAATCCGGGAAGGCGGTACACTATCCGAGGTCCCGGATTATCAAAAGTCCCACAGAGTGCCGAATGCGTGTAATCCAGCTACGTACCGCATGTCAGTGATTGGTTATAGATTAGGATGCTGATATACGTACCTGCTCGGCAACCTCGAACCATCTCATCATTGCCCTGCATGTTGGAGGTAATGAAGATTACCTCGGCTCCGAAGCTATCCCACGTTTCTTTGAGCAGTTTCACAGTATCTGGTCGTCCTCCTCGTTTCTTCGAGTCCCAGAGAATCATTCTCTCGGGCTCGATGTGTTTGTGGATCAAACCCGTTATCGTTGGCCCAAAGGTTTTCTCTTGATTAGAACCTATCCAAATGAGGAACCTAATCAAAAGTCAGAGAAAGTTTCCAAGGAAGAGTTTGAGAGCAGCGTACCAATTGGGGCTCTGGATGCAGGTGGACAACGCTGCCCCGATACCGGTTCCAGTGCAGATGCGGATTCCTCTTTTGAACATCGCGGATGCATGTCCAACACCAGCTGCTGTTTGTTAGCAGACGACCATTTCGGGAATAAGAAAATGAGCATACCGAACTTCAGCTCTCTGGTCCAGACAGCCTTGGGTGGATCGACAACAAGACTCTTCGTAAAGTCGCCCTGAACACCGCAGATCATATAATGATAAGGAGACGTTCGGCTCTCGCTTATAATCCCAAAGGGGTGGTACTCCATGATCGAGGTGCGACTGATTCTACCCAGGAGGCCTTGCTGCATCCCTCGGTCGAAACGGAGTATGGCGACTTTGGGCGATGGCTAAAATCATATGTCGGTTATTTTCAGCAAAAGACCAGGGGAACTCACGATTTCAACTTCCACGGGGACCTCTCGCAGGGTGACCCAAGGGATAAGGACACTAGAGAACATGAGTATAGTCATGGAAGAACTGGAAGATAGCGTACAAAATTGTCATGAACACGGCAAACCAGAGCTCCTGTGCGCTGAGCAGGGAATGGGTGTCTGTCCTCCATTCTCCAGTTTTGATGTTGTAGGTATCTCCTAAAACGACAAAGCACCAGGTGGTCTACTATTTGTGAGTTCTAAAATGAAAGTCGAATTGATTTGTACGTACAGCTAGGCCCAGCCATCCAATGAAGCGATGGTGTTTCTCAAATACGTTATGATGGTAGCTAATTCAGGCGTCAGCTATCGACATATCGACATCGAAATTGAAATATTCACTTCCGAACCCATGGGAATGCGCTCAGGACAGAAATTATCACCAGGATATTTGTGATCAGGCCAGTGGCAATCACAGCGCTATTCTGAATGGCGCGATAGCGTATGATGCCGACGATTTTGAATACGAGCCAGCTGAAGACTATGTCAGTCCAGTTCACAGCTGATTCATGAAATTGACGTACCCAGCGCCAGATAGTCCGCATCCTGAGTGGATACCTCCGACATGTTGCAAAATCGAAGTTACTGCCAGCTTGACACATATTGGAGCCCACTAATAAGACCTATTAGTCCCCGTCATGTACATGGTAGAGAAAGGGACTTGCACTTCGCAGGCCATAGATGGCAATTATGTATAAGAACCGGAGGAACAACTCGTTTCGCATGAGAATTGCGCAGAGTAGGTTGCCAAGCACCAAAGCACCGAGGTGATTCTCAGCGTAAGGGAAGCGACCGAGTGAGGCCATGATTATTCCAACCAGGTTGAACAAGGTGACGAAGGTGAAGAACTTTCGGTACGTGTTGAACCAGATTGTAAAGAGGAGCCATCGACTGATCTTTTGTTTCGGTCGCGCTGGTTCGGCTGCTGGTTCGGGTACCGCAGGAGGCTTGAATCCTGCTGGACATGATAGGGACAGTACTGGTACACTCGAGTTTGGTGTACTGCCTTCATGGACAGGTGCTAACACCGCTAGGCTCTCGGTGCTGTCGTACAGACCTTTCTCTGCGGCGTCGAAGTCCTGCTCTTGGCCACCAGCGTACTCAATTCCCTGTTTGACCATGATGAAGGTGTGGCAACTCTCGACTTTCCAAGTTTAGAGCCCTAACTTCGGTTCTAACAACCCGAGGGGGAAGTGGATGGTTCTTGCGAGCAATGGCCAGAACGAAATGGAACTTAGTGGGCTAGACACGGATTCTAATAGTCCAGGAAGGACGAGAAACCCACGTTTAAGGTCCATGGCGTAGGCCCAGGCACAGATGGAAAGTGGATACGAAGGCGAGCGGCGTTGGGGTTCATCCAATTTGCTAAGTGACGGTGCTCGGGGTCCCGCTCGGGTGTAGGACCTCATCACGTGCAACCTCGTAGAAAATCGCGAAAACTCACGATTTTTAAATCTTAATAACTTTACGAATAATAAAGATATAAAGATAATTTTTTATATAAATAATAGAGAAATACTTAAATTTTAATAATATGACTTAATAGTTTATATTTATATTATATTAAGTTTCTTAAATTATTTTAAAGAAGTAAAGAGCTCTATATATAAATAAGCTCTTATTAACTAAATAGAGTATTATAACCTTAGCTTAGCTACTTATATCTTAAGTATACTAAAAGTATATATTCTATAATATATCTCTTAATTAATTAGATTAATAGACTAATTAAGAAATTTAATTAATTATAACTTTTATAAAATTATTTATTTATTTATTAAGTTCTAATTAATATACTAATTAAAAGATTAAATAAACTATAATTAACCTTTTAGATATAATTCTTAAATATTTTAAACTAATATATAACTTAGTTTTTAATTATTAATTTTCTTTTTAAATATAAGTATTAAAAGTACTTTAGTTCTATATTCTTTTTTATAATACTTCGTTCTCTTCTTATTTTAATTTACTCTTTCTAAATAAGTTCTTAAAAATCTACTTATATTAAAATAAGTTAATATATTTTTATTTTAAATTCTATATATTTTAATTAAAGATATAAAAACAAGTAACTTATAAGTTTATAATAAGCTCTTTTAATACGCTTTTTAATACTCGAGTTAATATATTTTAATTCTAATTACTTTATATACTTACTCTTAAGTTTAATACTAATTTTAATAATAGTATAATCTTTTTTAAAGAGACTTATAAACGAGATAAAGTAAATATAAATAATAATCTTAAAGATTTAAATAATCTCGAAAATAATTTATAATATTTTAAAGTTAGTTTAATAAATTCTTTTTAAAATATAAATATTTAACTATTTATTTTATAAAAGATATTAAGTAAAAAGTCCTTTATATTAATTATAATAAATTCTATTATTCTTTAATATAAATATATTACTAATATAATAAAAACTCGCTATAAGAATAGGGTTTTTATTACTAATTCTTAAGAATATATCGAGGTATTCTTATATTAAGAATTATATAAATAGAAATATTACTCGAATTTAAAGATATATACAGAACCTCTCTATTCTAACACCTCACAATGCCCCAATTACCTGTAGATAAGTCAATTACAGCTTACTGTATCTTACGAGCCCGGCTGTACGGATCTGTATGTATAAGGCATTAAGCGAGGATTTTCAGGCTTCACGAATTCGCTTATAGGCTTTCGAAAACCATAATCTCTCTAATTACTTAAAAGCTAGAAAATAATAAAGAATAACTACAACTTTATATTCGGGAATTGGGAACTAAAGGAACCGAAGTACGATTTGATTAATTGATCTTCAAGGATTTCTAGATTTGAAATTTTATTTATTACTAAAATGCCTTGTATACACAGACCCGTATAGCCGGGCTCGTTACGCTAGTGGATTTGCTTGCTTCCATTACCGTACGGTACGTCGATCGGCCTCTGCTATTGCTCTATACCTCTTTTTAGGCTGTCGGGAAGCCAGGGATCGGTAGGGGGGAGGGTTATAGGCTATAAAGGCCCTGGAGCAGTGAGATTAACGCTTAGAATATGGTCTTACTAATGCCTGAAGGCCTAATAAGAGCAGTAAATTAGCCTATTACATATATGATTATAAGAATAAAATACTAAAAAATCAAGATTGAAATAAAAAATCATAAGAATAATTCTTATAGTAAGGATATCCTTAGCTCGGGGCTAATTTTTATTGGAATCCTAAGATAGTATTCTTATATTAAGTATTCTTATAGCAAGTTTTTATTATACTATTTAATTAACTTTATATTTATTAAAAAAAGTAATAAAGAATATTATAATATTATTAATTATAGTTCTTATTACTAAAGATATAGTTTTAGTTTAATTACTTATTAGTTATTATAAAAAATTATTTAGAACTCTCTAAAATTAAGCTTTAAGTTTTTAAAAAAGTATATAGAAGTTATAATTTTTTATATAATATTTTTAAAAGTAAATAATTTAATTTTAATTATAAAAGTAAATAATTTAATTTTAATTATAAAAGTAATAATTATAATTTAATAAATAGCCTTTTATATAATTATATCTTTAAATAATTAAGTTAAGTATTTTTATAAAAAATTTAAATAATATAATTATTTATAAATAATATATTAAAAGTAATTATTAAATTAATTTTTTTTAATTTTTTTATTATATTTAATAATTAAGAATTATAATTTAAATAAGTATCTAATTATTTAATTAATTACTAAAAAGAATTTAAAACTAAAATTAATAAGAAACTAAAGAAATAATACTATTATATATATAATATTTAATTTAATTATAATAGTAATATAAAGTATTATATTAATTTTTTTAATACTTTTTTATATCTTTTAAATAAACTTATTTTATAAACTTTAAAAGCTTTAAAATTAATAATAATATACTTAAATACTTTTTATTAATTAATTAAAACTTAATAATTATTTTCTTAATATAAGTATTATAAACGAATTAAAGCTTCTTTATTACTTTATTTCTAATTATATAAAGTCTTTTATATTTTTTAATTTATAAGCACTTTTAATTCTAAATATAATTTCTTAAATAAGTACTTTATTACTTTAATAGTAAATTACTTAAATATTATTTATATGAAAAAATATAAATACTTTATAAAAAGTATTTATAAATATATATATAACTCTTTCTTTTATAATTAACTAGTTTAAAAGTTTTTAAAGTACTAAAAAACTCTTTATATTAAAAAGTTAAAAAGTTTTATTTACTTTTATATATATCCTTAATTACTTAAAACTATTTAAAAGTTAATAAATTATAAGTAAGTTTTTAATTAATTATATAATATTTATAAATATATTTATAATTTCTAAATTAAAATAAGTTATAATAATATTAGTTATTATTTAAAAAGACTTTATTATAAGTATAATAATATATATTAATATAATTAATAATTCTTTTTAAAGATTACTTTTTATTATAATTTAAAAATAATATTTTATTAAAGTTTATTTTATATATAAAGACTTATTTAAAACAAATTAAATAAATATATCTCTAATATATTTTATTACTTTTTAATAGCTTTTTAATTTAAGGTTCTTAAGTTCTAATATAATATTTAATTTAAATATTTCTTTAAATTATTTTATTATTTTAATAATTTAAAAGTATTTTTTTTTAAAAATAAATATAAAGTAATAAGTATTTTAGAAATTATATTTAAATACTTGAGTTTCATAAAACTAATATTATAATTATTATATATATTATTTTATAAGTTAAATAAGTTATATTAAATTAAATAGAGATTTAAAATAATTAGTTTAATTTAATTTTATTATTATAATTAATAATAAATTTGAAGTTATAAAAATTATATTATTATTATTAATATTTAGTTTATTAAAGTAATTTTTATAAGTTCTTTATTTAATTTAATTATTTTAATATAATTTCTTATAAGTTTTTTATTATATAATTTCTTTAATTTTATAATTATAATTTATTTTAATTCTTTTTAATTATTAAAAGTATTATTAATAAATCTATTACTTAATTTATTAATAAAGCCCTTTCTTTTATTTTATTAATTAAGTATATTTTTTTTAATAAATTCTAAAAGCTTTTTATTTCTTTATTTTTTATTACTTATATTAAATTATTATAATTATTTAATATAGTTATTTATATTTTTAAGTTTTAAAATATATTTTAAAATTAAAAGTTTTATTTTAATTAAGATATAAATACTTATTTTTTAATTTTAATTTTTTAATTAATTATTTAAAAGCTTATTCTTATTTTATTTTAGTAAATTATTATTTTAAATATTATTTTTCTTAATTAATTTAGTAATTTATAAAATAATAGAAATAAATTATTCTGTTTCTTTTTTAAGCTCTTATTAATAAAAGATATCTTTATTAAATATAAAAACTTAAATCTAATATATATTAAATATTTAATATATTTATATAATATTATTTTAAATACTTATTTCTTTTTTTTAATTTCTCTATTTTTATTTATAAAATCTTATTTTAATTAAGTTTAAGATTAGTTATTAAATATATAATAAAAGTAAAGTTATATTACTTTAAGTAATTTTAAAACTAAAAGTTAAATACTTTATTTAATACTTATAACTTATATATAAGAGAATTTTATTATAAAGAAATATTATAACTTATATTACTTTAAGTTATATATTAATTAAAAATCTTATTTCTTTTTATATTTTAATAAATATATAAAGAATATATATTTCTATTTTTATTTAATATTTAAATTCTTTAATTATTAAAAATACTTTTAATTTAACTTTTTTATTAAACTTGTTTTTAATTACTAACTTTTAATAAAACTTATTATATATTTATTTAAAGTTAAATGAGTCTTAAAATATATTTAAAAAATAGTTTAAATAATTATTTTAAGATTATTTAAGTAATATATATTTAAATATAATATTTATATTTAAATCTTATTATATTTTCAATTTCTTTATTCTTATAGTTCTTAATAAGTATTTATAAAGCCTTAAGGCTTAAATATTTTATTTATATATATTATATTTCTTTACTATTATTTTTTAAATATAAGTAGTTTTTTAATTAATAATATATATTTC